CTGTTCTAGTACACCCCCAAAACAAAATCAAGACTTTGTAAAAGAGCATAATAGGACCCCTTTAAGCACAACTTACCATATGCACAGATTATTTGATATTTTTCAATGCTCTTGTCTAGGGCTGGGCGATATAGCTAAAAAATTTATCAACGATATAATGTTTCATATCGTTCGGTATCAATAATTATTGTCATTTTTTAAAACAAAGCAATAGAAAAAAATGTTTAAATTTAACCTCTGTATTTTTAAATTAACCCAATTTATTGAGACAAACAACAAATATTTTTTGTTTTAACAGTCAAACACACAATAAAAATGAAACAAATATCTAATTTCTAATGTTTTATATGCAGATTAAACTTAATGAAACTTTTGGCTTGTCTCCCGAGGCTACAGGAGGGCACAATAGGGAAACTTTTGTCTTGTCTCCCGAGGCCACAGGAGGGCGCAATGAGCAAAATAATGCAGCACATTTAAATTGTCACCCAAGGAAATTAATGTCTATAAAAAAATCTGCATTACGTTTAAATTAACTCTTATAAATCAAATATAATTTCGTAAATTGCATAAACAATTATGAACAAAACAGCATCATGTATTTATGCATTGATTAATACAAAGAGCCGAATCGCCCATCACGCAGATTGCATTTAAAAACATAAGAGACGCAGTGAAAAGGAATAAACCTCCACAAATTCGCAACGTGTTTTCTAAAGGTTTAAACCGTTTTAACTTTGCATGGTTACATCTCTTGTGTGAGACGCGAGTGCAGCAGTCGTATTTGTCCATCTAAAAATGTGCTGAATATGCGTTCTGTTTCGGTTTGGTTGTGGCTTGGTTTCGGTTTTAACCTAGTCAAGATCTTCTCCGCATTAAGCTTCTATATTTCTCTAATATTTTGAATGCATAATGCAGCAGCGGCGCATCTCGTGGGCTAGACTAACAAAACATTAAAATACAGCGTCACTTACATCATCATCACCGCATCTCGTGCCATTCAAATGCAAATGTTTATTTTAAATTCGATTAATATTCATTTTGTATTCACAATCTCCTCATCACAGGCAGGCACAGCACTCATTTCAGCATGTGTTCGTGTTTGTGTGCGCTGTCTGCGTCACTCATAGCACGTGCAATATATCGAACAATTTTTATATCGTTGTTGAAGAAGGTGTACCGTTGATAAATATTGATACCGTTTTATCGCCCAGGCCTACTCTTGTCTGTTCCTGATGGATAACAATAAAAACCTCTCTTCAGGTGGCATTCAGAATGTTTGCGCTTGATGTTGCCTTGGTCCTCCTGGAGCAGAGTGAGAGGGATGTGGACGACACAGTGGACCCTGAGCTGGCTGTGTTCCTTCCTCACAGGTTCCTGGTGCACAACATCATCTACAATCATCGTAATGATGTCTCCCCCACAGTCAGAGGTCACGCATTGCACTGCCTGGCACAGTGTCTGGAGCTGGGTTCCCAGAATGCCACAAAATGTGTTCATGAGCTCTTCTCCAACAGTAAGTATATTACTACAGTATGGTAACTGCACAGCTCTGTGTAAAATGTTCTATTATTTAGTTACAACAAGCAATATGTTTGAATACTGAATAAGCTCATTCTTTTCTCTGCAGGTGCTCAGACTATGCTGGAGTCGGGCCGCTCTGAGCGTAAGATCATATTTTGGTATTTAAAATCAAATTAGGGCAAGGCATTTTTATAGTCAGTGATGGTTCAGTTTGTGTTTTGTTTTTCAGAAACTCTAAAAAGAAGAGAGACTGTTCAGAAATCCGCTCTGACCTTCAGAACCATTGAGCTTACAAAACACAAGAGCATTACCACGACTCACAGGAGCGTCATGAATTCTTCCTTACAGAGTAAGTTCGACTCATAGAGGCATTATTATTTAAATTTCAAATTTTGCATGACTGTCTATTTCTTAATGAATGTTTCTTTATTTACTTTTAGATGAGGAAGCATTGACTCTATTTAAAAAACATGTCAGCGATCCAAAAATCAATGCTAGAAAAAGTGCACTGGAGGTATGAAATACATTCTACATTTTGAAGCATTTCACATTCAACTTATTGAGCGGTCAACTAGTTCATCTGGAGAGTTTTTTTAGTTTCTATATTTTTAACAGTGGTGCATTAATCAGTATGCTGATCATATACTATACTTTAGCTGTTAGATTATTTGTACAATATGATAAGACCCTTTGAAAAAGTTGCTTTAAAGCACTACTGTTGTACATTCAAATGTTGTTTTTGACCCATTTTTGTAGCTTAATTTCCATAAATGGTCTCTGTGGACTGGGGAGGGAACTTTTTGTTATTGCATTGTTATTGTTAGAGTATGTTTGCATAGTAAACAGAATTATTTCAAAAGAGCATAAAAAAAATCTGTTTTATAATATGGGCCCTATTAAACATACACTACTGTTCAAAAGTTTGGGCTTAGTAAGATATATATATATATATATATATATGTGTGACCCTGGAGCACAAAAGCAGTCTTAAGTCGCTGGGGTATATTTGTAGCAATAGCCAAAAATACATTGTATGGGTCAAAATTATAGATTTTTCTTTTATGCCAAAAATCATTAGGATATTAAGTAAAAATCATGTTCCATGAAGATATTTTGTAAATTTCCTACTGTAAATATATCAAAACTTAATTTTTGATTAGTAATATGCATTGCTAAGGACTTCATTTGAATAAGCAGGGATCTTATCTATTCACGAACAGCTTGTAACACTCCAACGAGAAAGGAAAACTTGGTGATTAAAAGTGACATGATTTCCACAACATTGATGGTAATAATCAGAAATGTTTCTTGACTACCAAATCAGCAGAATGATTTCTGAAGGATCATGTGACACTGAAGACTGAAGTAATGATGCTGAAAATTCAGCTTTGCCATCACAAGAATAAATTACATTTTAATATATATTAAAGTAGAAAACTGTTTTAAACTGTAATATTTCACAATATTGCTGCATTTACGTTGGAAAAAAAATCGTACTGACCCTGGAACTTTTGAACTGTATTGTATACAAGGCCATTATTTCCTTTGTCAAAATAGTCTAAAGAAAGCAGCTATAACTGATTGTCTCTTCCATGTGTTTGTGTAGACCGTCATGAGTCTGCTGAAGCATGGGGTGATCTCATGCAGTGCAGAGAATCTGAGTATTCTGTCAGATCGCTGCAGGGATCCTGCTGTCTCGGTGAAGAAAAAAGCCATGCAGTGCCTTATGGATCTCCTCACTGTGAGCACCCCCTCCCAACCTCACAATACATTGCTTCATCCAACAGATGGATTCGTACTATGTCTACCTGTTATGACCAATATGATTAGCTAGTCAAAACAGTCAAACGTTTACCTGTGCCTCTGCATTTTAATGGTTACCACCAAGGTCAGGTTTGAATTCTTATTCTAGGCTTTTTAAAGACTTGACATTTGTCACTACGACGAACACTGGTTTAGAGTGTCCCCAACCTTCCTTTCTATCTTTGTTTCCAGGCTCTGCCTGAGAATAGAGAGGTGCAGGAGTCACTGTGAGCACCCCCTCCCAACCTCACAATACATTGCTTCATCCAACAGATGGATTCGTACTATGTCTACCTGTTATGACCAATATGATTAGCTAGTCAAAACAGTCAAACGTTTACCTGTGCCTCTGCATTTTAATGGTTACCACCAAGGTCAGGTTTGAATTCTTATTCTAGGCTTTTTAAAGACTTGACATTTGTCACTACGACGAACACTGGTTTAGAGTGTGTCCCCAACCTTCCTTTCTATCTTTATGTTTCCAGGCTCTGCCTGAGAATAGAGAGGTGCAGGAGGCCTGGCTGAGAGGAGTGTTACCGGCTGTCATGGACTCTGAGAGCTCTGTGCAAGAGAAAGCTCTAGAGTGTCTGGACCATGTCGTCATTGCTCACATTAAGAGTCAAGGCAAATATCGGGATGACGACACCTCTCAGAAGCTGGCCTGGGACTTACTGGGTCTGATGTGTGAAAAGTGTCAAGACCTCAGGTCAGTTACACGTGTCCTAACCATCTGTCACTAGCGGTATGTGACATGTCCCCCCTTTTTTTCTTTTCTTTCATTATTATTTCTGTCCTCCCCCCACATCTCTCTCTTCTGTAGCCGGTATTTCAGCAAGACTTTCAGCGTGTGGGCTCCGCAGCAGAAGTTCACTCCTGCCTTTGTGAATGGTTTGCTGTCTCACACCGACGGAGAGAGGGCCGCTGCCGCCTGGCTGCTGTTAGATAAAATTGCCAGTTGCTCTCCTAAACTGAATTATGGCACCGTGTTGGATACCTGGGAGAATACTATCAGGTCAGAGAACAGAGCTAAGGAAGTTTTTTTTTTTTTAGTAAATGTACAAATTGTTACAGTATAAAGAAAAGAATTGTGAATTTTTTTTTTTTTTTTTTGCCTCAGTAAATGCACAAACAGTTATAGTATAAAGGAAAAATGTTAGAGAATATGTAGTTTTGATTGATGGGCAGTGTGTAAAAGTTGTCTGCTTGATTTTGTTCCAAAATATTTGTTTTATGATTTTTAGAATTATGTTTTTGTTTTAATGATCAGGTCACCAGTTGTTTCAGTTACAATGACCTGTCACATCTTGAGCGTTCTGGGAGACATTGCGTCTAATCTCAATGATGACACCAAGACCAGAATAGTAGGTAAGTGTGCTGCGTCAGGACTTCGGACTATGACTGAATTGGCCGCAAATGCATCAGAAAAAGTATTATTTGTGATTATAATAAAAATAGTTCCCAATGGTGACAGGTGATGTGATTTCATCATAACTGATCTGGTTAGGTGGCATTAATTTATTGCATCTTCAAGGAGCAAACAGTTTGGTCTTGTTAGGCAGTTCTTTTTAACCTGAATGTGTCTTGAGCTCACAAGTTATTGGTCCTACACACTCACTGAACCAAGAGTCATTTATAGTCAGGTTGGATTCAGATTAACTGAAAACTGCTATTGTGACATTTGTACTTTAGATTGATGATGCACACTACTGTTCAAAACTTTGGGGTCAGTGAGATGTTTTTTTGACAGACGCTTTTGAAAGAAATCTCTTCTGCTCACCAAGCCTGCATTTATTTAATAAGAAATGCAGTAATATTGTAAAATATTATTACAATTTAAAATACCTTCTCTTTTAATGTATTGTAAAATTTTATTAATTTATTCCAGTGATCGAAGCTAAATTTTCAGCATAATTACTCCAGTCTAATATGCCGATTTGCCGCTCAAGGAACATTTCTTATTATTATCAAAGTGCAATATAAATCATTGTGTGTGTGTGTATTTCTTTCAAAAACATTCTTACTGACCTGAAACTTTTGTACTATAGTATATGGTAGTCAGTCTAATTACCTGTTTGCATAAGACAGGTAATACAAAGCTTTTGCATTCACAATGCAACTTTGTTAGTAAATTAATAATGGTATTTTAATTCAAATAAATTGCAAATGTGTACATTTTACCTGTGTAGATGATCTGATGGGCTGGTTGAAGACTTTCAGCCTGCCTTTGGAGGTAATCAGCTCCTGTGTGGATACTCTGGTCAGATTTTCAAGATCAGACAATACTCGGGACACATTGGTAAGATTATACCATTACCAAAAGTCTTAATATAATGTCATATTTATACTTTAATATTTTCATTGTGTGTGGGGGTTTCAGAGGTTCCTGGATCGTTTCTGTGGAGAGCTGGTCTCTGTGTGTGAGAGTTATCTGTCTGGTGTCATTCTACAAGAGAAGGGAGCTGAGAACATCAATGAAGACCTGCTGGTACAGACCAAGCTTTTATTAAAGTTGTCAACTTTCATTTATTTATTTTTTTTAGGGCCACGCCACCTATAATCTTTTTTTTTTTTTTTTTTTTTTGCAACAAAAAAAGAAAAAAAAAGTAAAAGCCTTGGCTGGCCCATATCATTCCAACTAAACACCAACTAAAAATAATGATGATGATAGACAGATGGGCCCTTAATTTTTTTTTTTTTTTTTTTTTTTTTTTGCAACAAAAACAATTATAATCTAGTTTTACATGACTATTTTACACCCTCTTTGAGTCTTACGATTAACTGTTTTTTGCTGCTCTGCTCTTTGCATATGAAATGAAAACATTACAAGTCTTTGTTGCTTAAAATTACTAAGTACTTATTTTGATTATTTGATTCTGATCATCCAATAAGCGCCATTGATTTGTAAATGTGGGCCATCATATATTAATATTTTGAGGTTCTGTCATTTGATCGAGCCATTTTTGTAGTTTTGTTTTAATAAATAGTCTCTTCTATGATAGTTTATTGATGATATTACCCTTTTAACATTATGGATAAAACTTATAAAACTTATTCTGATCTTTTGACAAGCTCCTCCTACAAAAATCAAGATGGTTTTTAATTTACATTTTGCATTTTAAAATGGCAATGTTTTTTATTTTATTTCATTTTTTCAACCCATCCTCTTTATCTCAGGTGAAACATCTTTATACACTTGGTGCCGCTTCGCTCCATTGCCCTTCTAAAGTAGGAAAGAGAATTTTCCTTGTGGTTCAGTCTGTTCTAACTCCCTCAGAGCAGCCAGGTGAGTCCATGCATCTTTGTTTTGCTTGTTATGGACTTGCATCTGTGTGTCAATATGATTAATCTAAAAATGATAACCAAGAGCTTTTCAGAACCAGACTAAGATGCAGCTTTAGGCCATTTACATCTGGTGTCAATATCAGTCTTGGATTAATGTTGCAAAACCATCTTCTGTCTCATGCATTTTTGTTTATTCTGTGTTTTTTCCAGTTCCTGCTGAAGGAGATGAGCTGCCTGCTGGTCAGCCTCTGTCTCAGTTCAAACCCAATTCCATGCCAACAGTGGTCCGAGCACATGCAGTTATCACATTAGGTGTGAAATATGTTTGCTTTAGACCCACTTAACCTAATAGGCAGAATGTGAAAACATCTGTTCTGAGTTTGATCTCGTTCTCTTGTCTGTCATAGGTAAGCTGTGTCTGCAGCACGAGGAACTGATGTTGAAGTATCTGCCTGTGTTTGCGCGGGAGCTGGAAGTGGGCACTGAGCTGGCCGTGCGCAGTAACGTGGTGGTGGTGATGTGTGATCTTTGTGTGCGCTACACCAACACTGTGACCCGATATATCCCGAACATCTCAGCCTGTCTGAGAGACAAAGATCCCATTGTCCGAGAGCAGACCCTCATTATGCTCACCAACTTACTACAGGTACACACACTCAAAGCTGTGATCAGACCCTCAGAGCATCTTTTGTCAAATTCTTTAAACATGTGATGTTGTTTTGCACTTCAACAGGAGGAGTATGTGAAATGGAAAGGTGCGCTGTTTTTCCGCTTTGCTATTGTTCTTGTGGACCCAGATCCTGCCATTGCGGAGTAAGTAATATGGCCAAAGAAAAGCTTATCACAGTGCGGTTTCTTTTGCCATATAATCTAATGTTTTGATGTGATTTCATTTGTTTTTGTTGTTTAGTCTCTGTGAGTACTGCTTGGTTGACCTCCTGCTTAAGAAGAGTCCCCTCATGTTTTCCCAGCATTTCATTGAATGCATTTTCCACTTCAACTCTTATGAGAAACACAAGAAATATAATAAATTCCTTCAAACTGAGAGGTACATTCTGAAATTATGCATCGTATGAACCTGGATTTGTTTGTTTTTGCAGTGGTTTGCAAAAAATAATGTTTAGTTTCCTTTCAATTTATGGGAAGAAACTACTCCGTGGAATGCTATGAGTTCTGAAGATGTGTTTGTATGTGTGTTTTCTGTCAGTGAGAAAAGCAAGTTTTCTCTGAAAGGACGACAGAATCAAGGCAAACGTTTCAGGATCTACAGGTTCCTATTGAAAAACTTTACTGACGAGCAGCGGTTCAATATCACAACCAAAATCTGCCAGGACATCCTTGGTGAGAGCTGTGTGTGATAGGAGTGAATTAGTGAAATTTAAGCACTTTTTAGTAGTGCCAGTTAGTGCTTTCCAAGGGTGGAGAAACTGTTTATAATAAACTATCATACTTTTAAATTTAAAATCATTATTCATTATTGGGCATGCAAATCCTACTCATGCAGTCATCAAATAAATAACTGGCTTCCAGTCAGGACAAAATACTGATTGAAAGCTCAGTGTTCAATAATTTCTTTCTATATATTATAATATTTCTATATATATATATATATATATATATATATGTATGTATGTATGTGTATATATATATATAT